ACATTTTTAATGTAAAAATATACATAAGGTAAAAGTTTAACTAATTGTGGGTAAAATTAATTAATTTACTTTGACTGTATATTAATAGTTAATAGGTATTTAAAAAGATTTTCATTAACCAAAGTTCTCAGAATATCAACAAACTATTAACTATTTAAACTATTTCATTTTATGATTCTGTTCAGACCCTATCAACATGAGATACAAAAATTAGGGGTGTTAAAAGGGATAAATGAAAAACCTTCTGTTCCAAGCATACAATTAGCATATATTGTTACCAAGGCAGTGCCATTAATGGATGAGGCATTAAATAATTACTCTTTCCCCTTTGGTCAGATTTTAAAATTGGATCTAATAACCTTTTATGGTCATTAAATTTGGGCTATAAATAGGAAAGTAAAAGGTGATTTTGTTGAAAATCATCTTTGAGATGGTGAGGCTATTTAAATCAATAAAAAAAAAATAAAGTTAAAAAAAGAAGACATTGTCAATTAAAATATGCCCCTCTTTGATTGAACTCACTTCAATAACCCTCAACAAATTTGTAAATTGTTAAAAAAAAAAAAAAAAATCAATGCTATTATATTTTGGCTTTCATACTTTTTAAAAGCTGAAAGTAATTTTTTTTTTTTCATTTTCAGGTCAGATGCTATGTCGGATTGAGGAAGAACATTTGTGGGAAAGCAAGCAACTTGGAGCTCACTCACCGTTTGTCTTATTAAACACCCTTATTTATTTTCATACCAAGCATTTCATTTTAAAGACGGCTCAAGAGCACATGTCCTTATCATTTGCACAGATTCTTAAACATTGGAAGAAAGGTGTCCCACTGAAAGGCCAACCTCCAGCAAGTGGAAAGAATGTCTCGCTTAGATTTTATTGCTTGGCCAATGGGAAAAAAGGTGCTGTAAATTGTGTTTTAGGTTCATAATTTTTACAAATTTATCAAACTTAACAATGGGACATTCAGACCTGTTTACTCTTACGATTTTGGCGTACAATGTACGATTTTGAGATGTCTTTTACGATTGTACGCCGAGACCCGCCAAAACTACGATTTTCAGAGAGCCGGTGAAAAAAAAAATTTTCTGATTAAAATTCGTTTGTTGAAGTTTTAGCCTTTTCCAATAAAAATCTGGCAGTGAATGAAACGAGAAAAATGATTGGTTGTAATTTTTTTTAAAGTTGGGGCCATCCTTCATTATATTATGTGCGCACTGAAAGGGGAGGTGGGGGCTGTTAATGAAGGAGAGCTGCGGCGTACGGGACACATGGGTGGGGGGGTTGGTCGGAGTGTCAAAGGTTATAAAAATATCACCGCAAAGTATCGTATTGATGGCGATGATTGTCATAGTGTTGCTTTGTGTGTCACACTGACCTAGTTAGCTGCGTCACCGGTAATATTTATACTATTCACTGCCATCCCCTTTGACTGCTACACAGCGTGTGACGTAGTTTTGTTCCCTTGAACCGCGGCGATTGTGAAAACGGGGAAAACTAGAGACGATATGGTTTTAAAATAAAATACATGATCCCACTGTTACTGCACTGGAACGTTGGATGTGGACGTATTTTATCAGAGCTAGTCAGCGGCATTTAAAAAAATATTGGTAGAACTGGCAAAGCAGCTCTTTACCCTCAGCGATCGTAATACCACAGTTTGGTATCACTACTAATACTGCCCCCCACCCCCACCCCTTTTTAAACGGAAAAAAAAACCAACGACGGCTCAATTTTTACCCCAGCAATGAGGGGGGGGGGTTCTGCCCGGTGGAAATAATTACGTCACCAGCACGGAAAGACGAATTACTGACTACAGTGTGTTATCAATATGTCATGTTCAATTTTACAACTACAGGGATGTCTTATGAAAACACAAAGCATTATTAGTAGCTTATATGAGTAGGCCTGTATGCTTACTGCGAAATATTGTAATATTTCTTATAGCCTTGATAATATTAATAATAAAAGGCCTAATTAAAATTCACGGATTTTACAGATTTTTAGATGACAGTTGGCTCTATAAGAGACTGTCAGGATAATTATTGTATGCATAAATGTAGGTGCAGTCTATTGACCCCCCCCCCCCTATCAAATCTGTCATACAAATCCTCAGCGGGTACATAATACGTAATAGTAAGATGGTCATTTGTTTGACGTAATAGTAAGATGGTCATTTGTTTTACGTAATCGTAAGATGGTCATTTGTTTTACGTAATCGTAAGATGGTCATTTGTTTTACGTAATCGTAAGATGGTCATTTGTTTTACGTAATCGTAAGATGGTCATTTGTTTTACGTAATCGTAAGATGGTCATTTGTTTTACGTAATCGTAAGATGGTCATTTGTTTTACGT